ATCTACAATTCACTCTCCCTGGCTCTCTTCTAACCATCTCATCAGCCAATATACTTGAATGGCCAAGATTCTGAAGAAAGCGGAAGGACAGAACCGGCTCAACAATGTGTACCGTTTTCCCCTCAAGATAGTTGCTGAGGGCAGGCCTAGTGGCTCAGTTGATTAAGACGCAAGCTCTGAGCAACAGTGTTGCAGGTTCAATTCCCACGGGAGCCAGTGAGCTGCCCAGGAGCTGAGCTGCCCCTGAGCTGCTGACTGGCGGCCAGATGACTCAGTGGTTAGAACGTGCGCTCTTAGCAACAAGGTTGCTGGTTCGACTCCTGCATGGGATGGTGAGCTATGCCCACCTGCAGCTAAGATTGAACACAGCACCTTGAGCTGAGCTGCCATGAGCTGCCGACGGGCGGCTGGATGGAGACTGGACTTGGAGCTGAGCTAGCTGCGCCCTCCACAACTAAGATTGAAGGACATCCCCTAGACTGTTCCCCTTCCCCAATAATCTTAAAAAAAAAAAAAAAAGACAGTTGCTGAATTCTGAAGCAGCTTAGGAGGGAATGAAGAAGTCAAGAAGAAAGCCTCTGAAAAGCAAAGTGGAACTGAACGCAGTCTGATGGTGCAGAGAAGACAAGGATTAGAGTTCAAATTATGCCGTAGTGAGGGGGCCCGAGCGACCATGCCAGGCTCTCAGTCGTCCCAGAAGCTGGGATGAACCAGAAGAAGACAAAGCCTTGCCCAAACTGCAATTCAGCCTGAAGTCAGTTCAGGTTCAATGTGATTAAAAGGACCAGCTCTCACAATATCTGCTCAGCAAAGGAAAGGGTGAATCCTTCCTAGAGAAAGAGAAATCATCTGGAGATGCTATCAATACTGTCATGTACAGTGTTCGGTGTTCAATAAAAACTCAGCAGGCATGCCGAGAGAGAGGATCAACTGACTGAAGAGTAGAAACAGACTCAGAACAGGTGAAATCAGGGCCGGCCAAGTGGCGCGTTGGTTAAGAACTGGCTTGGGATGCCAGAGGGCCCCGGTTAGGATCCCACATATGAGGGCCAGTGACACTGCCCTCTACAGCTAAGATGTT